TAGAAAAGAAATCCGTAATTTGTGGTACAAACGCAAACAGGGCGGTCCAAATTGGATTCAACTCAAAAATTTTTTTCCCCTTCATACGATACTCGTTATTTGGATCCTTAATGCAGTTAGATTTAATACCAAAAGTCGTTGACATAATTACATCTGTTGAATATCTATTAGTAAAATTAAAACATAATTTTTAATAAATTTTAAATTTTACTGAATTTCTTTGCAAAACATTTGAAATTTATATGGATAAAGAAAGTTTACTACAATATAATCGCTTTGAGTAAATATTACTGAAATAAAAATATACAAAAAGTAGCTATGAAACAATTAACAAAGATCTAAAAAAACTTTGAAATATGCAAAAAAGAGTTCTTTGTAATGTTTATATATTTTCTGCAATAAAAATTTTGGAATTTATTTTGTAAAAATTTCAAATCAAATTAACTATTTATAATAGTTATGTTAAAAACAAGATAATATAAAATTCTTTAAATTTAATATAAAAATTAGATAAAGTCTCGTAAGAATAAGATTCTAATATATGTATATGATACAAGGATTAATGAGCTAGGCTGCGTGGCATTTAAATATCACGTTATATATTATATTAAACCATCACTGAGGATAAGTATTAATTAAAAAAAAAACGTTTAATAAATTATAAACAACTTGACAAATATTTTTGTTATGTAACGTGTGATATTTAAATACATTAGCATTTAGCACTGACACCTATCGTGGCTCATTAGCTCTTCTATTACACAAATTAAAATTCTTTAATCTTCCGATAGTACAATTTGATAATAATCAATAATTTATTGAGACATGAAAAATAAAAAAATATTTGATGTAACAGAATTAATATGTTGTATGTTTTTAACAAGTAAATTGGAATATTTGGAAGATAACTTTTGACATTTTATTATAATAACAATAAGTCTCAAATGGCAAAAAAACTTTTTTTTAACAAGGACATACATTCGAGAATTCGCTGCTTATTCTTTTCTCATTTCCAACGTTTTATTATATTTAACTAACAACTTTTTACTGCTAATAAAGCAGTTCCTATATATACTTTGAAGAGCAAACAACTTTTATTAAAAGACAGTTTGATCAAAACTAATTTACCTTGCAAACATATCTTTCATTTCGACGGAATCTTTCATTTGTGCTTTGCTCTCCAGATACTTTGTGAGTTCTTCGCTACACTCTTTTAAGATCGAAAACATCTGTTTTATTTTTCCAGAAGTAAACATGGGCGTCATCTTGACGCGCATATTTCTCCATTTCTTTCCAGACATAAAAAACAAATGGTTGGACAATGAGTCAACCTTTTCGTTGAAATATATTCCGCGATCATGGAAACTTCCAAATTCCTTTGTCAACACCGTTCGAATAAGATTGAGATCGTTGATCACCAAGTTTGGTTTAAAAAGTGAATACATTCCAATAACGCGATGATGCTTATATTTCATGTAAACATCATGAAAAAATACACCTGTTGAAAACATTTTTTTTAAATTAATTTCTCAATTTTTTAAGCAGAAATACAGTATTAAGCAATGGAATAAGTCATTAATTTTATAAAAACGAATATAAATTTGTAACAATTATGTATAAATGAGGACTAAAATACAGTAGTTTTCATATATAATACAATTACAATTAAAAAATATGAAAACATAGTTAATAAGAATTTCATGTAAATCCTAATTTATTGCATTGCTATCAAATTTTGTGTTTGTTAATTCATTTTACTTTGAGATATTAATTATTTTTTAATTATAATTAAATATTCAAGTTAATGAAACATTCTAAATGTTACGTACATAAAAGTAAATACTATTCACATGCGCGTTTAAATACTACTTAAAGATACTCGCCTATTTGTGCTTTACCGGTTATGAGAGCTGCTATATTTCCAATTGGTACAACAGGTTCGATGTAAAAAACACCCTTTTTGCGCCAGAAATTAAATATCACAAATTTATAATAAATATATGCAATGCTTAGGGCAATAATGAAAGCCCCGATTAACTCTGCAAGTACCATTGCAAATCTGAAATTACAATAACAATTCTCTTTTAAAGCATTTACGTAAGATTTTATAAGAATATTAATTTTTAAATTTTTTCTGTGTTACTAAAGCTGAATTAAATGTTTGATTATATGCGCTTCGTATTTAGCAATTTGCTGTTTCTGTAAAATTTGTGAATACTGTGACAGGGCTAATTTATTAAGTTCATTGCTTATCAATTGATTAGCAAGAGTAATTTTTTGACGAATAAAAGGACGCCAATCATCATGAATGAATTGATCTTTCTTTGTTGCATATTATAGTTCGTATATGACACTATTACTGTGCATTAAGATTTTTATTTATTCCTATATATACGTACTCTCGTATAAAATGATTATATTAATAATTGTAATGAACTTTCTATTGTTATAAGTTCATTGTGATAAACAGCTCCTACTCGATTTTTCATAACAAAATCTCGTGCGTAAATACATAATCGTATTTTTGCGTAAGCATAAAAGAATGTCCATCTAATAATGTAGACTGTCGAGGACAAGGATCTGATATAGAAACAAGAGAGGAAACGTGATGTAACAAGACATCACAACATATTTGCAATTCAAAGGAATTGCATGCGTCATCATACGGACGTATCAAGAAAATTTTTTTCTATTCAATGTATTACTGATGTATTAATTTATTTTTTATATAGATAATAATTCGTTATTATATATATTATATATGTCTAATAAAAAAATTAACCTTGATTATAAAACATGTACACTGACCGTAGAAGGAACATTCAAATGCGAATAATTTGTGACAAATACCAAGATTTTCAAGATATCATTACATAATCACGAGCACAGTTAGAAATTATTAACTGTTTGCTAACAGTAATTAAATAAGGAAATCTTACGCATTAGCTTTACTTCGTACGTCGCAGGCGTAATTCTGTACGGAAAGTGTGATAAATATAAATATACTTGTTCAGCTTATGCAGAAAAGTATTATCGAAGTATGAAGGAAGCTATTATCTATTATCGCAAATGAAGCAAAATTACAGCTACATTATCGCAGGTCATGTGTCGGACAATACATGATTTGAAATAATTCTTATGATTTCATTTTCACGCTGTGGAAATTACTTTTCCAGTGATCAATTAGTTAGATCTCGTTAAAACTAGAAGAATATGAAAAGTGATGTCAGTTTATGCAATTTTAATATTGTAATGTCAAAAAGATGCTGTTTTGACATATTTTATGGACAATAATGAACTTTAAAATGAAAGATTTATGCACTATTGTGATAGAAGCAGCTGACGCGAAGATAATTATATAATTAATTAATTCTTTTCTTTTACTCTTTTTAACATATCTTGTAGCAATACAATTTGTTGACTTCAAGCTTCCTTTATTAGCAATATTACAAAAATTATTATTTTATTTTTGCTATTTTGATATTAAATATATGTGTGCTTGATTGCGCGAAGTACGCCAAACTGAATATGCAGTCAGAACATTACTATAAAGTACTAAAAAATATTAATTTAAGAGATTCATAAATATATTATACTTTTATAATACATTTACTATTGATATGATTAATTGCGAAGCATACTGAATGTGTCAAATCACTTGCACATTAAGCCCCATCTACATAAGTCGCAAACGCACAACGCAAACGCAAACGCGAAGAAAAAAAAAGAACGAAACGTCAAAAAATAAAAAAAAGAAAGAGAGAAACGTTCGCGTTTGCGTTTGCGTTTTGCATTCGCGACTTATGTAGATGGGGCTTTACAGATACGGAGGAGAAAACAATTTAAAAATTAATCAACGGTTTCACTTTGTTACAGAAGCTTACAAAAATTGCACAAATGCTATATTCTTGATCTTCTCACCTTAGAATTTGTATCGATCGTAGAAATGTGTAAAAATTACATTCAACTCTCTCTCTGCAATAAATATATACAAGCAGATAGTAAAATGTTACAATGTCAGCGGACTGCCAACACATCTGAAAATATCAGCAGACTGACATTAACTAGTATCGCATTCGGTTTCTATTCTATCAACAGACTTTGTAACGTTCTATTGCCAACTGATTGGCAACAGAAATCAAACAAAACTTTCTTGACCGCAGATTAGCGGCAGAAACCGAGAAAATGGTCCTTTTTGCTTCAATGTTGAATAACTCGGTGAAAAAAAATCGTACAACGCTCGACAAA